GAGCATTCTCAAAACAATGTGAGGTCAGAAGCTTGGTGTCTTTCTCACCCATACTCAAGACACTATAGTCTGAGTTACATATGTAGTACTCTCTCCGTCCCTTATAACTTTGCAAACTTTCCTTTTTTGGATTTACCATTAACTTTGACACTTTACTTTTTAAGTAAAGAATTTGTGGTTTCGGTTAACTCTCTCTCCTCTAAACAAAACTCAAAGACACAATTTTTAATTTATTAATCCTCGTGCAGGTCAAACTTGGCAAAATTATTAGGGACGGAGGGAGTATATCCCAAGATAATCAGATGGATAAGTTGCGTATATATCAACTATGTTTGTTCTAGAATGTTGTCTACAAGACATATGTACTTCATATAAACTATGGTTGAACATAAAACACAAAAGACGTCAATAAATGTTACTCCGTGTTATTTAGCAGTGTGAAAACGAGTTTATGGTAAATATATAGTGATAACTGGAAAAAGATGCAATCACCTGAAAATCATACTGAGTATAAAAATACCACACTGACATACTGAGTGAACATGTAACAGAAAAGCCAAACTTGCAAATCCACATAATTAGGAACGCAGGCATTAAATCCTGATTGATTTTCTGTTTGGGAGAGACAACAGAGAGACATTGGCATTCAGATAACAATGTACAATCAGATGCTTGCATGTCTGCTCGCCCAATATAATCCATATATGAAGATATCTTTCACTATTCAGTGGAGATATATAATTTTGGTAATTGCATAACATATGAATCTATTATAGGGGCATATATATTATATGCTAAAATTCACAAGGATAAAGATACTACAAAGAGTAATCATAGGATGAGTAATACGGTGCAGAACAAAATGTGATGAAATAAAATTGCTCCACAGTAGATTAGCGACAGAATATACCTTAGCGATTTGATGCCTCTTCTAAGAAGGGCAACCAGCATTGTCCTTGTCTCTATAGAACTCGGGTAAGAGAATCATTCTCCTAAGCCTTAACATATTAGTTGAGCTTGTAATCATACTTTTTCCTGGGGTTCTCTTCAAAAAATCATTTTTACTACCATCCTGACAAGACACTAGAGCTCACCCGAGGTATTGATTCTTTCCAAGTCATCATTTGCCATCTTTATCGTGAGCAACACATATCCTTCCTGATATTCGTTTCGGATGAATCACAAATCTATTCTAGTTTCTCAAATGCAGGTTTTCTCCGGAGAATGAAGCGACCAAGGCGATATAAAGGAGCGAGCTTGAGAGGGTCACAGCGTTGGGATGGATGTGAGACTTCATGACAGACGGTGTAGAGATGTAATTGGTGGCGGAAAATCCATTGATGGCCATGCCATTTTCCAAAAGTTAGGATGTCAACCAAAAGGCGTATGGTGCAGGGGTCAATTTGCTAACCTAGTTCCCCTTGTAGAATGAGGAGGAGAGCTAGGGTTTTATGGCGAGCGTCAGCTAGGGTTTGATTGTAATGATTCAGCAGTAATGGGTTACAAAATGGCCTATAAGCCATATATTCTCATAGCCAACTGAGAACAAGAGGACATAAACTACATGAAAAGCCCAATGTGTTAAACTTTGGACTAAAAAGATGAAAAGTCTTCATCTTTTAAAGAGGGAAAAAGGGCAAATAAACATCGAACTAATTGAAAAAGTGCAAATCACTCTTTTAAGAGGAGACTTTGTCTGACCGTCGTTATTTGAGGCGGTTCCCGGTGGAATTTTTTGAGGTGAGCATCTTCTTCATTGAGTCTAGTTTACTCATACCAAATTTCAGCTAAAAATTTAATCGTAAAGGCAGTCAAATAAATGTTTGAAGATAACTGCGTAGTTAAACAGCGCAGTATATTTCAGAAAATCATTTAGCTGCCTTCCCGGTTGATTTTTTTCCTGAAATTTGGTATGGGTAAACAAGACTTAACGAAGAAGATGCTCAAAATTATTCATCAAAAAAAAATCACCAGTAACCGCCCCAAATGATGACGGCCAGACAGAACCTCCTATAAAAGGGGTGATTTGCACTTTTTCGGTTAGTTCGAGTGCTTATTTGAACCTTTCCCTTTAAAGAAATGTAAATTTTTACTGAAGTTTTCATTTAAATTCTGGTTTAGGCTGCATTAGGGACGGGCACGGTGCAGGTCGGTCCAGATAATTGATAAATTTTTAAAACGTCGGTTCCATTTAACGGGTAGGTTCGATTCGAGTATACCATATCTCAAAATGGGAATCGGACCTTACCCACTCGTTTGAAACGGGCCGATTCAGTCTGAGTTCTCAGTTTTTTTTCTAAAACAAAAAATACGTCTATGCTAGCTAGCAAAATGTATAGTAAGTTATAAAATTTTCAAACTAATTAAGTATCAATGTCACCCCAGTATAGTAAAAACTCAAAATAAAAATATAAAACAACGTTTTAAGTTAGTTAACAAAATTTTAACCATCGATCTATAAATTAAATAGCACACAATCTCCCAAATTAAATAACAACAAAATTTCAAATGTAGAGATTTACACATCATCATCCATAAATTAAAAAGATACAACTATAAAGTCGTAATAAATTAAACTAGTTAGTATACATATTTGTCTATGGAAACAATTTAAAGCTTATTTAATCTCAAAATGTAAGTAAAATTAAGATAATTAAATGAATATGTCACACTTAATTGAGAGTCTTTGTCTAGACACAAAGGCATGAAGAGCTTATGTGTGTTAGTATATTATATTAAATATAATAGAGTTTATTAAAATAATATTATAAATGGTTCGGTCAGGGTATCCATTTTTTCAAATTACTATGATAGTCACTAGAGTATAAAAAGTCATATTTTTGTTCAATATCTTTATTTTAGTCATATATAAAAATAAGAGAAAAAAACATAAAAGGAACCCACACGTTTTCAAATAGAAATCGATGAATAATTCAAAGTGACTACTCGTGTTTGATTCCATTATCAAAGGTGTTAGACGCCAATTTCGAGAAGTGATCGAAAATTAAAACAAAATTACTATGTCTCGAAACCATCTTTTTGGCTCTTTTTTGGAATGTTTTTTTAAAATAATTCACTAATATCACTTTTCGGATGGACTTTCGATCAACAAAGGTGGCTGGAACAAAAAAAGGAAGAAGGTTTAGAGGACGCCTTGAAGAGGTACACCTGCTAATATTTTTTTTTTTTTCGGATACTTTTGAAAATCAGAGTTTGCATTCATCGTCTTCTCTGAGTTATATCTAACATCGTTAAGCGTATGACCCTCCAGTGATAACAAAATCAAAACATGAGACTACTCTAATGAGAAATAAAATGAAAAATTACATTTGTACACAACTTTAGTACACAAATTGTACTAAGGTGTATAAAGCCTACAGCCGCTTTGCTGACTGAATCATCGTGATTAACCTCTCCACCATCCTGTCGGGTCGGGGTTGGGGGCGTTGGGGTTGGGCATTCAACCTTTTGGACCAAGTACCAGTTGGTATATTATACATCCGGATGTACGTAGGGCATCATACATCCGGCCCATCAGAAGTATTATAATGGACTGGAGCACTAAAAGACTACAGTAAACGGCCCAAAATTAAAACACGTCCAAAACTAATACAGACCAAAAAAATTCGGTGGCATTTTTGTAATTTAAGCAAAAAATCACGGCTTCCGCTAAACGAGCAATATTGTACTTTTAATGAGCATCAGACCTATTTTATTGAGTATTTATGAGACTAACAATGAGTATCACGATCTCTGCTTCATATCTTCTAATTCTTTTTTCTTTTTCTTATTTTTTCTTTTATAAAAGCTCATTAAATTATATCTATAATACACTCCTATTAATTTCAATATGAGAGTCTAATGTAATATGATACTTTTGAAATATGCATTGATATTACAATTCAAGTCTATATCATATGATCTCATCAACACAATACCGGTTTCTTTTACCAATATAGCAATATTAACCCAAAATAAATAAATAAATTATACTACTAGTCATAAATTTAGCATGTTAAATACTACTCGGTACTATTTAACTTTACAATTGTAGTAGACACCAGTTCACTTGCAATCACACAAACCCAATTGTAATTAGTATGTACTATGTACTACGGAGTATATAGGCATTTAGCCATTCAGCAAGTTAAATCAAATACCACGTACTAAAAAGTTAAAATCCTTATGACCTTATTTAGATATTCAGATATTTATTACTCCCCCAGTAACATAAAAATGAGTATCAGACCTATAAAAATGAGCATATGCAACTTGTAAGATGAACATTGATATGAAAATTGTAAGTTTTGTTCGTTGAGCATCAAGATATTTTCAATGAGCATCAAATCTCCGTTATTGAGTATTAGAATCTGCAATTATGTATCGATCATGATTTGTGGTCTCGTGTCTATAATGAACTCCTATATAAATCTAATGTAATATGAGACTTTTAAAATATACATTGCTAAAACATTTTAAAAATGAGCATAACAGAAATACGAAATGAACATACATAACTTACAAAATGAGTTTCCAAAAATTTAAAAACTCATTTCTGTATGTTCATTTTTTTAGGCGTTTTACTCATTTGAATATAAAGTAAAACTCATTTCTAATATGTTCAGTATTAATTAATATATAATGAAGAGGAATTAAACAACAAATTAGAAAAGAACTAAAAAAACAAATCAGAAAGAAGTAAAGAAAAAGACAAAACAAAAGCAAGTCAAACCAACCAGCTACCAATAAAAGTAAAGACAAAACTAAAAAGTAACAATAAGGAATGACAACGAAAAGAGGAAGGAAGAGTATGGCCGCGAAAGAAAAGGAGATGGCGACTGAAGAAAAAGGAAAATGGAACGAAGATCCAACGAGAAAAAGGAAAAGAGGAAGACTGTGGAAGAGAAAAGAAGATGGAATGGAGATGAGAGAGTAGAGGCTTAAATTTGCTAAGGATTACAAAATAATCGGATTTAGGATATAATTTACGGGACCAAGTACACAAATTGTACACCCGCCAAACATTAAGATACTTGACCGATAGTGTCTGTCCTCCAACTCTGACCACACACTGAGTCACTGCTGACAAGGTCCGTGTAAAGACGTGAAGGACACCAAAGTCGGTGACTGGAGTGAAGAAGATCGCAACCCAAATGAATACCTGGCTACAGCTCGGTGTCATTTGGTCCAGCCCTAGAACCGGCACAATCCAAAAGGGGGTTAAGCCCATCCGCTCAACTAGAGGATCACAACCACCTTACCAGCAGAATGATGACAATGGCAATGAGGGTAAGTTGATCTCATTTCTTCTTATTTGTCTGAATGCAAGCATTTTCTTTTTGTAGCTATGAAGTGGAAGTTTATGTTAGGATCTTTCTGGTTGATTTTTTTTATGTTAGTGAAATCTGAGCTGCTCTGATGGAAAGGGTAGACCTTTAGATTATGTTTGAAAAGAGGGTCTTAAGGGATGTTGGAGTGCACTGTTTCTAAAAATCAACAATGGAAGATTGACAGAATCTATTATGACTAGGAATTGTTGTGTTGTTTTATTTGAGTAGTTCTTCTAAAGCTATAGTGTGGGGGTACAATAGGAGTGGGTTGTTCCCTTTTGAATGATCTGAGAAAGAAGAGGCTTTTGATCCTGATTACCACTTACCAATTTGATTTTTGAGTTTGCCTCTATGTAGTTACAAGTCATAGGCAATTAAATCGCTAGGAACACGTTGCCATATATTGTGTCTTGATTATTGGCCCTTGTTTGGTTGGAGGGATTTGGATGGAAGGGGAAGAAAGTATAAAGTCTAGGACTGTTGTGTAAAGAAGAATAAAAGCTCTTAACATTGAGCGTGATGATTTTTTTTGGCAAAAGATAACTTCATTCATATTAGAAAAGATGCCCACGTCCACTCGAGTTGCCCACACATTGAGCATGGTGATTGTTCACTTGATTTTCGTTTTCCCAGACGACAAAGCATCCATTTCTCGAGCTATTCTGGCTATGCAGGTAGGTATTGTTGACTGTAATTTTGCGATTCTCGGCCTACTAGAGTTTATATCTGTGTAGAGATCTCCAGATCTGTGTCTATGATATTTACCTTTCCCGGAAAGGGAAAAGTGATGGTTTCAAACAAGTAACGGACAACCACCTAAACACTTGGTCCGTTTGGAACAGAGTGAGAAACTTGGAAGGGAAGAAACTATTGAGGCAAACAAAACACTGATTCGAACTGAATATACAAAACAATTTGAAGGAAATATGTAATATAAATGTATCGAGTCTAAACCCATCTTTACTTTTGCTACCTATTTCTTTCCCTGGTATTTTCTAGATTCTGGAAGATGCCTTAAAGTACAGATAAAGGTTAGAGTTTTATTAACTCGATCTATCTTGTTTATGTAGATGATAATGATACGTTGAGAAAAGATTGGGACAAGGCCTGGTCTAACTTCAAGAAGAAAAGCAAAAAGAACATCATCTCACAGTTCAACAAGTATGTGACGTGGAATCCTAGGCGCTCTAACTATCCACTGTCTGAAGAAATCGATCCCATTAAGAGAACCGAGAAGTTAAATCTGAATTTATGGACTAGTAGTCAGTTCACTCTTGCAGTGACAATTCTGATAGTTACACTTCTTCTAATCTATACCATTATTTTTCCACTGAAATGAAATGCTTCCATGAAACAACCCCCTGTGTTGTAACATGTGAATGTCTGTTGTCATTTGAGAGAGTGACTATTGCACATGCTTATGATATTAATATCCTCCAATGATAATAATAAAATTTCTTTAGGTTGCTTTTTCTGAATGCACTTATGTTAGCAGTATGTCCTTTTAATGTTTAATGAAGCCTTCCAGGTTAGTTTGCATTTCCTGAATGCACTTGTGTTAGCTATCTGTCCTTTTAATGTTTATTGAGGGCTTCCAGGTCATTATCGTTCTGCAAGAGTGGATGAGTTTGATTCTACAATAAATATGATTAAACCTTGTATTACAGAGTTAATATAGAGAAGATTATCATTACTTTCTACTACCTCCGTCCCTTAAAACTTTGCCAAAGTTGACCGGCACGGAGAATAATAAAGTAAAAACGGTGTGGTTGAGGTTTGTGCAGAGGAGAGAAATAATATAAAACACAAATAATTGATTAAAATGGAAAGTGACAAAGTTTTTTGAGACGTCTCAAAAAGGAACGATGACAAAGTTTTAAGGGACGGAGGGAGTATTATGTATATACCTCATGAAGATGTAGAAACTGGGGCTTCAGCCTAAAGTGGCCAGATGAATGTATAGATTATTCAGCTGTTCTTGAAGATGACATGCAAAATATATTCGGCAGTTAAAGGCAAACAGACCTTTGCATAACGGTAACAGAATGTTCATAGCTGGCAATAGCATAGCCTCATGATGGGGCTATGAATAATTTTCTATTGTGCAGACTATCTATATAATCTTACGGTTGAACCAATAGCAGTGGCTATGTATACAATTATACATTATACACATACACAATAAACACAAACATACATACAAATATATGTAGTAGCTTTCATGTCCAGCCGGCCTGACGGGAACCGCCGTCCAGCCGAGGCCATTTGGAGCCTTTCCCGGTGAATTTTTCTTAGCATGTACTTCATCAAGTTTAGTTTATTTCCACCAAATTTCAACTGACAATTTAATCGCAAAGACGGACAAATGTGTAATTGAAAAACATTGCGCTGTTTATATAACGGCCTTTCCTATTAATTTTTTTGCTAAAATTTGATGGGCATAAACTAAACTTGACGAAGAACGTGCTCAAAAAAATTTATCAAAAAATTCCACCGAGAAGGATCCCAACTCCCAAGTGGCCTCGGCCGGACGACGGTTTCCATCAAGCCGACTTGGCAACTGGACATGAAAGCTACTACTCTAAGAGCCCGTTTAGTAACACTGAAATCGGCTGAATCAATTTATTCTGTTGAAATCTATAAAGTTCTGGCTGAACTAACTGTGTTGTCTGATTTTATTAATAAGAAAATTATATTTAAAATCAGAAAAAATATATTTAAAATATATTTAAAATATTTAAAATTGTATGAGAAATAGCTAAAATGATTATTATTACACAATTCAGTGCGCAAAATCAAAAATCACGTGTTTGGTTAAAAAGTTGATTGATAAGCCTGATAGGCCGAAAAACAAAACCACCAACCGGGCTCTAAATATATGTGTTTATATGACACATTGGAAATAATCCAAACTTCCTAATTACAAGCCTAAACAAATAGTCCAAACTTAGTAAACTATAGTCCAAAGTTCTCCTAATTACTCCTAAACTTATTTGTGTCACATTGGAAAAAGTTGTGTGTAGATAATGAAGGAAAATACCAAGTACCAAAATCTATACATCTCAAGATCAACTCTGAGAATAATCTAAAACATGAGATTTCATCAATTAAATTTGCAGTCTCGTGCTTGGCCACCCACCAGTTTCATTGATTTGTAGTGTTGTTCTTGCAAATCATGCCTCCATCTAATTCAACTCCTTATCCAAATCATCATCATACTCATCAAAAACATCTTTGGTATTTCCTGTGCACGGTGCTGAGGTTGAGCATCCAGCGTCATCCTATGAAGCATGACTCTTGATAAGCAAATTTGAATTGTGTTGGTTTTGTTTTGCTTTTTGGGTTGGCGGGGAATGTTGGTGTATGTCAGATATATACCTCATGCAATCATTCTTAGTTATCTCTGCTTTTTGCAAGGCCGTCTTAACACCTCTTCCTTGAGTTTCTTCCCACTTCTTCCTCTTCTGTTCCACAAATAGTTCAGGACTCAGGATTTGATGCAGTCCATTTTGAATGCTGGACATTGCAGATAACATTAGGAATACAATAACCCATCGATCCCCAAAAGAGTCATGATTCAAAAACCCTTGGTTGTTAAGTCAACTTTTATTTTGAAGTAAAATTCTAATATAACAAGGTGACCTTTAGTCTATTACTCTAAACAAGCCTCGGAGCAAACATCAGGGGTACAAGAGACAATTTAAAATTTTAAAGACATTATACTTTGATTGAGATGACTAAAAAACAAAAAAGGTGTAAGTTTCTCTGACAAGATTCTTTTTTTGAGTGGGAGGGAGTATAAAATATTGAACCAGGCATCATGCAATGGAACAGGATTTAGTGTTAAAAGGAGGAGAAAATAATAGTACAAGTGTACAACAACAACATTACCCCATGCCGCAAAGGCTCGCGCCAACGGTGGGGTAAGAGGGGGTTAGATGTACGCAACAGCTCAAACAGTAAAAAGCAAAAACAAAAATACAGTGGTAGAAAAACTTAATCAATCACTTTATCTTCAATGGCCCTGTTTGAAATTGGCTGGTTTGACCTATTTTAGCGTTCTCATTCTTCATGAGAAATCCCACTCATTTCATTCAAGTCATATCGGAAAGATCTTTTAACTCGGAGCAACAGGTGAGGTCTACGTTGGAATAAAAAAGAGCTACCTAAAACTGCAAATTGTAAGACCATGTTGGGTACAATTTAATCTTTTAATTTGATTTATATTTCTTTCAGTTGAGGTTAACAATTACATACAAAGCATGACCGCAAGGGAAGAGCCCCCCCTAAAATGTAAAATATAACCCCCTTTCCCAACTTATCTATAATAGATGTGGACACCACAAAAGCAAAAACAAGGTAAAAGTGGAACCTGAAACTTGATTGGTTCTTGTTATACTCCTCACTTTTTATGCCACAAACTCCTCCAAAGTCTCTAGGTCCCAAACTCCAAATCCTCCACTATTTCTTTTTTACTGTAAAAGATGGCAGCAAATATAGAACAAAAACAAATTAAAATGAAATATGGAGATAACAAAGTTACATCCAGCAGAAATAACTAAATAAATACTACATTTAAAATAAGAAAATCACCATGATCGCATTTCTGAAATGTACAATCTTCTCTCCTTTTTTTGAATATTCAGATCGTGTGAGAACTTCCACTTGAAACCCTTTGTACATTACCCAGCTTTGAAGAACTCGCACAATATTGATTTGGAAACACACCAGTCACCAGACCATTGATCCAAGACCATAATATTACATTTGGCTACACAATTAACACCATAAGATTAGCACATGAGTGAAAGGACTAAGAGATGTATATAATAAAAGCTTCTAGGCTTTTAGTGGATTTTATAATTTCATTGAAAAATGCAACTCGATTAGATAAAAAATAATACCATTTGTACACATGAAGAGATAATTTACGAGACGGAACTTTAGGTTGACTAACAGCAACATTAAACAAGTCAATGTGCTCCTTATCTCTAGCCTTATATCCTTTCTTTTTCTGCACAAAAGTTCAAAATTGCAAATATGTACGGAGTAGATAAGAGCTAACTGCTAACGGCAGTTCAAATGCTCAATCATTAAGCACGATGAATAAATGCATAAATATAACACATCTGAAATCAAATACATTGAATTCCCCAAAGACCTTTATACCAACCAGCGGGAATAAGTGATATATTCTTGCTGTTTGACAGGACAAAACTATGACCAGGATTCTTCAATAACCTCCTATTAACAATCAATTCTCGTGTATCAGCGGCCCTTTGCCATAAACCTGTCGATGCATATATGTTAGCTAAGACAACATAGTTGGCAGGCTCTTGGGGGGTCATACTAAATAAATTCTTCGCTGCTAACTCTCCAAGATGCATATGTTCATGCATACTACACGCCCCAAGAAGTGATCCCCAAAGAGAGGCACTCGGATTAATATTCTCCCTACATATCAAACTATGGGCTTCTTCCAAACAACCCTCACGTGCCAAAAGGTCTACCATGCAAGCATAATGCTTCGACAGTGGGCAAATCTTATATTTGCGAACCATATTGTGGAAGAACTCCCAGCCTTGAGAAGTCAATCCAGTATGGCTACACGCAGAAAAAAGGGACAAGAATGTAATATGATTTGGATGAATTCCCTGCAATTCCATCTTCTTGTACAGAGAAATTGCGTTCTCAGTATGGCCGTGCACACCATATCCAGATATCATTGATGTCCACGAGATTACATTCTTCTCTTCCATGTGATGAAAAATTATCTTAGCAGCCTCAATCTCACCTGCTTTTGAGTACATGTCAATCAAAGAGTTTCCCAAGGCTACATCATGTTTATTTTGATATTTCAATGCAAGAGTATGCATCTGCCTTCCTAGACTCAATAATGCTGATTTAGCGCACAAACTAAGCATTGAGCACAATATTACACTGTCAATTCCCACGTGCAACCGATGCAACTCTAAAAAGAGATTCATGCATTCATCAATGCCTTTACCCTGACGAGCATATCCCATAATTAGTGTAGTGCATGATATGATATCTGTCTTCTTCATACTTCTATAGAGACGATTTGCATCAGCTAAATTCCCATACTTCACATAGGTGTCAACTAGAGATCCAATAGGCACGTTATTCAACTCATACCCCAATTGAACAACGATACCGTGTATACTGCTAACAATCATGAGTCCATCGACTCTATAACCTCCAAATGAATTTCTCAGAATACTCCCAAACGTGAAGCAATCGGGATACAAACCTACATATAAGCAACATATTCATTTTATAAGGAAACAAATTATATGAAAGCCTATATTGTCAACCTGCATACTACTCCCTAGATTCCACAATAAAGTTCATAGTTGTTTTGGCATACTTAAGTAAAAAAAGTAGTTAAGATAGAAAAGTGCTAAAATATATTCTATAAATTCCTAAATAATGTTCCAAATTTTCTTTTTTTGTTTGTCTCTAAATAAAAAACCTTTTCTTACTTAGCAGCTAAATAAATTATATTCTTATTTCGCAGCTAAATAAGTTATCTTCTTTTTTCCTAAATAAGTTGTTATTTTACTACCCGCATGCATATATCCATCAATCACCACTAATTACTCAAACCTTTTATTAGAAAGGAGAAAGGGAAAACTAGATTTCAAATGTTAAAAGTAATGATTGGTTACAAATAATGTCAAACCTTCACAGAGCATGAGCGAAGCAATATTTAAGTGTTGATATGATGGAGAAAATCTAAAGCATATGAAGTAACAATAACGTGGAAAAAAACACCCAACTACGGGAAAAACTGAAGTTTTTGTAATAAGTGAAGCATTTACAAGAGAGTATATTAATTGAGTAGTCATGAAGAATCACATCTACCGATATTTTTGGCATTATAGCAACAGTGCAATATATAAATATCGACTCAATTTATAATAGTAACATCTAAGAACTTATTCTTTCTCTAAGCATCAAGAGTAACATAAAAATGAATGCCCCAAGAAAAGAAAAAATAACCTTGAACGCTTGAAGATTAATTTTGGAACTGCTATATAAGGAATAAATGAAGCTTTTTTAGGGCACATAGAGTGCTAAATGAGTAGCCAAGAAGAATCATGGCTAGTTCGTGGTGATTTTTTTTGTATAATATAAAAAAGCATACATATACGAAAATGAACTGAATTTATAATAGTAGGAAATCCAAAACTGCCAAAAGTCATACCTTCTCTTAGCATCGAGCGGAACATAAAAAATGCATGCTCATAGAATCCCTGAAAAGAATATCCACCAATCATTGTATTCCATGAAACCAAATCTCTCTCCAACATTGAATCAAACACAAGACGAGCATCATTTATTTCCCCACATTTGGAGTGGAAATCAAGCAATGCACTCTGCACAAATAGATTTTTAGCGAATCTGCTCTTCTGAACACGCCCTTGTACTTGTTTCCCTTGATTCAAACCCAACAAATTGGTGCACGCCCTTAAAACACTTCCATATGTAAATTGATTCCCCTTTAACCCCTCACGGTGCATTGAAATAAACACTCTTAGAGATTTTCCTGAATCCATATTTCGAGAATACCCTGACAATAACGCGGTCCAAGAAACCAAATTCTTTCGGACCATACCCTCAAACACCTTCTGGGCGGTTCCCATTTCACCAAACTTTGAATAACATATGATCAGCTTTGTGTGCAGATGTATGTTTGGCAAAATACCATTTATTATCATGTGGGAATGAATCAAACAACATTGGTTTGCCGCCCCTCGATCGATACAAAGACTCAAAAGTTTAGAGTATAACGTGTAGTGAGCTCCGATCCAATGACGTGGGATGCCTTTGATAAGCATCTTGGTGCTGCAAAGAGATACAGTGGCGGATTTATATTTATTAGGCGGATCTATATTTGATACACTGGAAACATATTTGAAAATGAATTCCTTTGCACCAAGGATCTTAACCATGCAAGCATTGGCTATAACATTGGTAGCATTTTGCACCAATAATTGGCTCTTATTTAGCTACCGTTATACATTCTAGGGCACAGTTCTGTTAGGCATCCGAATCGAAATCTGAAAAAAAAAACAAATGGAGTAAACTCAATTGGTAGAAAGAGCTTAATGAATTGGTGAATAATACTCCCTCCGGTCCTAAATGAAGTTCAGTGTTTGACTTCACACAAATTAAGGAAATAAATTTGACTTTACTGTAGAGTGCACTGTTTGGCACTGTTTGACACTGTTTTGCACTGTTTTGATGTAGATAATTTGCCAAATAAGGAAGTGAGAAGAAGTGTGTACTTTATTTTGGACCGGCCCAAAAAGGAAATTGTGAACTTTATTTAGGACTGGAGGGAGTATAAAATTACATAAAAGGGTATATGCTTTATGGGCCAAGCAAGCAGTGAAGCAGGGACCCTACTCTCCACATTTCAGCAAATAGCTCCTTTATCAGTAAAACAATCCCTACAGAAGGCAACTTATCCTTGGTCGAAATTAATCAGACAGGATCAGAACCCCCCCCCCCCCCCAAAAAAAAAACCTCAGAAAATTACAACTTTTTTGGAGAAGGTGGTTTTGATTCAATCCAAATTGAGTCAAAAATATTCAAATTTGCAAAAAATAATAATGAAATATTCATTTTCGAAATTAATAAGTCAATTCTTCATAAGATTAATTTCAAATTTGAATTAGTCACTCAAATTCTCCATTTTATAACACAGATCACAAGAGATGTCTCTAATTTTACCCGACATTGCAAATTTGGAAACCTTATAGTCTCCTCTGAATTTTACAAATCAGGCAGCTTTTTAAAAATTGCTAAGAAAAAGGGGGCCTATGTCCATATTCCTATGGGGCGAATGAAATCAACTGATTGATTTTATGAATATTTTCTCCAACTTTGTGGGACCACAAAATTTAGCACAGGAGGACCCAACACTCCTTACTCACAGAAATAAAGATGCTGCAGAGACAGAGAATTATGCTTCCTTCACCAAAGCAATGTTTTCCTTGGATATTTTGGCAGCCTGCGCCAAAACACCTCGGATCATATTTGTAGAGGAGGACAATTGTAGTGAGGAGGATCATGAGGAGCATATCCCAGCCCAGTACACCTCTCCACCTGAAATGACCGAGGAGGACACTTCACAAATCATGGAAGCAGATTTGTCGAAGGATTATTTCGACACTCCTCCAAGAAACCTTCCATCAGAACAAGAATTATTGGATCGGTTGGCTGAGACCAAAATCGCATCCATTATAAAAAGAAGGAGCACTCGCATCAGATCAAAGGCTCATCACGCTCTGCACTAATTTGTTGGGTTTCTTAGCATAATATCTTTGTTTTTTTGTTGCTTTTCTTTTCCAGGCTCGTTTTCTTTCTTTCCTTTCGTTGTAATTTTTCTATTATGAATAAAATTTTCCTTTCTTAAAAAAAGGGTATATGCTTTTATTAAAAGAAAATGCTACTTTAAGATGAACTCATTTTTCAAGCACTGTGATTCCTTAATAAAACTTCAGTACACCATTGGACCATACTAATGTGCTTGTGGGGGAGATGTGAAATAGGATGATAGTGGAAAATTAGTACTCCACCACTAATAAAAACAATCCACAACTACATTACTTCTGCCACGGTAATGAAATAGAGGAAGGAATACAAAGCAATATGTTTCATATTTCACAAAAATTGGATTATAGAACATATCAATGAACAAATCTTTTAGTTTTGAAATGGAAATTAAAAACTACTTTCTGAATATATTATAAAAATTATTATTAAACACTACTTTTGAAATTTAATTTTTAGAACTTCGAAAAACTAATACTCATTCAACTTGTTTAACAACTAATACTCAAATCAAATTTATTTAAACATTCTTTTGAAGTTTGTCAAAAAAAATAGAAATTTGAAAAATTAGTACCCAAGTTTAAAATCTTTTATATGCTTGACAACTAGGGTAGCATTTACATTTTACATTGACATTATTCACTTATTATGCTGTTACACATGGACCAGTTGATGCCTTGACAGAACTTTCAAAAGGCACAGATGCTCTATAACCAAGGGTGTTTCATAGTAGAGGTCACTTATGCTGCTAAAATACATTTCAGCTCTCTATAACAGGGTCAAACTGCATTGACCTATAACGAGCTCTTACATCATTCCGTTTTCCCAGATCCAGCTCATTTTCAACCACATAAAAACAATCCTCTTGAACCCAAGGTGTATTTGGAGTATCAATCAAGTCATTTAACTCTCGTCATTTCTCTGTACTTGTATTAAGATTTAAAAACTAATGTTATGTTGCTTTACATTTTTAGAAGTGGATTGTGTAGCCATATGCCCACATCTACTTAAATTGACAAAAATTTAGGATATATTTAAAATATTATTTTCAATCACATAATTCATATTAACAAAATAATATGTTAAGAACATTAGGAATTAGCAATCCCTAATTTCAAATTTCACAAATGAAATCACACCGTTAATAACATAATAAAAAAATCTACAATAAATATATTACAATTCAAAATCGAATTACTATATTAGTAAGACAAACAATTCAAAATATTAGATGAATTTGATAAATATAATACAAATTAAAAAGATTGAATACTTAAATTTAAACAAAAAAAACAAAAAAAAAAATCTTACCTAGGGCAGTGGCGGCCACCTGTCAGCGTCTTGAGGGGCTGGGCGGGCAGGCAGTGGGCAGCCGCAGGCGGCGGTGGACTGGCGACTCGCGGAGAGACGGAGCATGGAGCTGGGCAGCCGACGGACGCGGAGAGGCGCGAAACAGAGTCGCCAATCTTTTCTGCACGTCCATGCCCGCCCTCAATTTTTTATTTTTAGCTAGTACTTCCTTCTTCCCGGAAGTTTACTGTTTGAGCGGAAAGTAAATTTTATGACACTGTTGTTTCTATTGTTTAATATTTCCTCTTTCTCTTATAACTTTTTCAACTTTACTTTTTTTGACGTCCCACTAACTTTGACATTTTCTTTTTTAAGTAAAAAATTTGTGATTCCACCTCATTCTCTCCTCTGTACAAATCTTAACCACATAATTTTTACTTTATTATTCCTCGTGACGGTCAAACTTGGCAAAGTTATTAGGGACAGAAGGAGTATTGTTTGGCACTATTTGACATGTAGATAAATTCTCATTTAACGAAAGAAGAACTTCTTTTTGGGACTGCTAAAAAGGAAAGCAAGAACTTCTTTACGGGAGGTGGAGACTATACACTATTCTTTCCCATTTGTCCGCACAAATCCAACTCCCAAGTTCCCAGTTCCCAAGCGTGAAGCATTGCAGCCAAGCCCAAGATTTAAAAGTGACCCAAAATCCCAAATCCTAATTCCAAAGCAAGAACAGCATGGCAGTCAGCAGAGCTAGCCGATCTTTTTTTGGCTTAAAAGTGTTTGACACTGTTTCGACACTGTTTGACACTGTTTAATAATGTTTGGCACTATTTGACATGTAGATAACTTCTCATTTAAGGAAAGGGGAATTCTTTTTGAAAATTCTAAAAAAGAAAGCGAGAACTTCTTTACGGGACGGTGGGACTATACACTAGTCTTGATCCGTTTTCCATTTGTCCGCACAAATCCAACTCCCAACTTCCCAAGCGTGAAGCATTGCAGCCAAGCCCAATATTTAAAAGTGGCCCAAAATCCCAAATCCCAATTCCAAAGCAAGAACAACATGGCAGTCAGCAGAGCTAGCCGATCTCTTTTTGGCTTATTGCTATTCCGCTAATCGGTAGAAGAGAAATGCTAAATGTACCCCAAAATGGGGTACCCCATTTTTACCCCGGCCTAATGTGTAGTCATAAATTGGGCAACACATTTAAGTGGGGCACCACTTAAATGTGTTGCCCCATTTATGACCACACATTAGGCTGGTATAAGAATGGGTAACTCATTTTGGGGTACCTATAGCATTTCTCTCGGTAGAAATCCCAATCAAATCTCAACCCAGCAGGCGGCATCCCTTCGTGACTTCGTCAATCTCTGGCCGGCCGTCTGACGGACGGCACACGATGACTCAGCACGAACATAACCTCTTAGCCTCTAGCCAAATCGGAGTAGCCGCTAATTTCGACTCTCGACAGTCTCCGCGCTAGATAATTTCTGCTTTTCGTCGGTAAAATTGTTAATTGTTTAGTTTTATTTTTTAAAAAAATTCAGTTTAGATTCTTAAAGACTAAATTACGATCTTATTTGGTATGAATTTGATTGTGAGCCTCACTTATATGAGTATGAATTTGATTGTGCTTTGTTAATATTAATCTAATTATTTGGTTAATTAGTATGGAGTGGTAGTGTAGTAACTAGGAACTCCATTGTGATAGAATTATGGTTTATGTAGAAAAGACATCTTCTTTAAAATTGAGAATGACGTCATTATCGAACGAAATTAATGGATTAGAATCCGTAGAAAACAGTTGTATAGTTGTGATGTTTTTGTCTTTGACTTTGATGAAAACTCTTATTCTTATAATTTTTTGTCTATGATTTTGTTATTACAATAGATGTTATTTAATATTTGAAATGAATTTTGTCAAATACACATTATTATTGGGTACTTCTACTGTGCCTTTTAAAATTAATAAGGTATGGTACCTCTACTAACGTGGGCCAATAAGAGTGATACATATGTAGTCTTTAAACACATGGATGAAACCGTAGTATTTAATTTAAAGACTAACTAATTTGCAGTCCCTATAATAAACGTGTGTTTTGACGATTCAAGTGAACGCACAAACGTATCAGGAAAGGAAGACGGCAACAGTCCCGTACTCTCATCGGCGATTTGGATCCGGTTTCTCTGCCCGGATTTTGCCGCCACGTAGGGTGCCTGGCTTTTTATGGACCTCTGATGCAATATTTGCAGATCCCAATGCGCTCCTTCTTTCTTCTTTCCCGTCCGATTTGCGCCAAGGACCCTGCCGTGCGGCAGAGGATCCTGATCCGATTTAGACGTCTGCTACTGTAAAATTCATTAGCTTTTCTTCGGGGTGTAGCGCCTCACCTTGGTATTTCGGATCATAGAAACGGTGCAGAGCAGATGCATTTTCTCTTGCAGGTCTGTTTACAGATGTACTGATTGATTATGTTCCCTTTATACTCACATCTACTAAAGACATACCCCGTACAAGATGTGCTCGATTGGTTATTTATCTTCAAATAACCAGAAAAGCTAAATTTGGTGCTTAAGAAGAAATATCGGCACCGGCTAAAATTGGTCTGATTAGCCGATTTGGATTGTCCTATACTATTGGGTTTAGGCTAAAGATAAAACTATTGATATCGTTGTGAATTGCAAAACTAAAAGAAATTCATATAAAAGTTTAAAATGCCAAGTCTAAAATTCATATATAATCCATGGTGAATTCTACAGACTTCTACTACTTTGAATTGGAACTCATTAGCTTTTCTCTGATTGTTACACTTCTCTTCAATTCGAATTCCTAACACTAAGAAAATTGATTGTTTTGGGAAAGATGGTTGAATTACATGGAAAATATAGTAAATTCGTCCCTACCACTCGTCTTGCTCTATCACCTCTGTTCATCTTGGTTTATTTTCCTCTGTGAAATAAGGAATCATTATTTCACACCGTATATGTAATCATCTATGTCGTATATAAATCGTGAGTATAAGGATAAAACTTTTGTTAAAATGCTAGTTCAATTGTGGCCCATGCCGTTTTATTAATACTTCGTATACGTTTTAGTATATATACACGTGTTTAAGCCTTATTTGTCCAAACAAGCAAATGTACCGTACCCTCAAAATTAATACATGCACCATAGAATTTTCCTATTATATTACAATTTGACGTTTTCTGAAATATACATTATTTAACTAAATTTTAGCCCACCCTCGATATCAAAGCTAGATCCACCCCTGTGTGTATGACACTTTGGAATAGAGCTCCACACTTACCCCGTGCGCCCGTGCGCCGTCCATACACACGCTGACGCCGACTGTACTTGTATACAGCTATACAAGACCCGCGAATATGCACATGCTACGGTAGCACAATTTAAAAAATAAATAGTGGTATTAAATTATAAAACCAACATACTAAATACTTTGATGACAATACAGTTATAATATAGTTAACCCAAGGTTTTAAATTGCGTATTGTGTAATTGTGACATTTTTTATTATTACCTATCGCGTAAGCCTTATTGCGTGTAGACTTGAGGCGTAAAATGTATATACAATCAAGAAAATATATAATCTATAAAATAGATTGTACATCCATGATCCATCTTAATATATTATTTTAATATATTAACATAAAAATATGCGAATTATAAAATGATGAATTTATGTGAAATCTAAATGTTCCATGTAATCTAAGATGGATCATTATCTCTACATGTGTCATCCTAAAAAACTAACATGACCTCAAACCAATCCACTATTCCTACTATAACACATATAATCAAGAAAATTGATTGTAATACAATTATACCTATTCTCCAACTAAGAGAGGCGAAGAGAGCACCTATGAAGAAGCAGCGACTGAAGCTTAAGCAGCAATGATGGGTCGCAGGTCGGCAACCCAGGGTTAAGAAGAACGAAGGGAATAGCGTACATGACTGACTAAACGCAGGTAGGGGAACTATAAAAACTGAAAACTTAAAAATCGGCCAATATATCTATTATCTACTTAATCTGCTAAGGCGGTCGCCTCACCCGCCTTGTTGCGCATCGCAAAAGGCATACGCCTCTGGGTAACATAGCCTACGTTTCTGCCCCAATGCCTTTAGCCATGCAATTATGCACCTTATTGCGTTATTGCATTGCGCAATTTGAAACGATGGTTATCACTGTAAACGAGAACATCATAAGTATAATAATAATAACTTGTGAATTAATGTTTGACAAAATGTGAACATGTTTACTAGTGGTAAACAGTAAACATGGTCTAGTATTGGACAAGTTTTATGACAAACTGATTGGTGCTAAAAATTAGGGAGGTCAAGACCTGTATTTTCGGTTCTGGTCCCCTAGCCGGTTTTTTATATTTGTATATCGTCTATCCCTCTCCCCACTTATTTCTCATCTTTTAAATGGACTCGAAGCCTGTTTTGAAATGTTCTCAATGATATTAATGCAAAATGCAAAAGAAACGAATGTGATTAAAACCGTGACTACACGGGCCGGTCCTGCTCCCACAAACTGAGGCTCGAGACCTCTTTCCCACCTTTCTGGCTTTAGTCCCGACCTAGAACCTTATTTTTTGGTGCCCTATGAAAATGACGATGATTATACAAAAGACGGACTAACTAGTAGCAAAATGAATGACGCATGGTACGGGTCAAGAGGGGCAGAGCCAAGGAGTTAGGGTGGTCAACCGATCCTCCTAAAAGTTTGAGAATATAGAGCTCTAGGGATGTTTTTACTCGAACTGGAATTTTCTAATCTGGTCTAGTCTGGTCTGAACTGAACTTGTAAATGTCTAGTATTTGTGTATTTTATAATTGTTCATGTCTGGTTTGATTTGGTATGGTTTGGTCTGGAACTAAAAATTGTTCAAGTAAAAACATCCTGAAATACCTTTGATTTGATATATTATGACCCCCGTAATTCATTACTAGTAAAAGTTATGTCTTTTGTAAAATCAACACCATCTAAACTTAAAGTGAGTGAAATTTGATGCGTAATATTGATATCAAATTTTAAAAATCACGTATAATTTACTCATTACGTGATATGACTCGAAAAGACAACATATCTTACTACTGCGAGTGCCTACTCAATAGCCAATTTTTTATTGATAAGAAATCTTGATATTAAGCTGTGTGAGAGAGGAATGCATATGGTCTCACGCGAGGCAACAATTGGTGCGGAAACCCTTAGAC